CTATGGGCTGTCTGGACATAGGGTGATTTGCGAGACAAGGCTACCTGGATGCTTGCTGGCCCCCAGGGGATGAATTGTGCCAGCTTACGCTCTCTAATTCGCTGAAGACTCTTGTGCACCTACAAAAATGATGTTCAGTAAGCAGACAAATCATCAACTTTGATCTCTGACAATGTCTTTGTGCACAATTAGTTCACAATGACGCACATTTCATGCACAAGCACAAGTAAGTGAACTCCACATGACCTTGTTTCAGCCAACTAGGATGGACAGCCTTTCAAGAGGTGTGTCATAATGTGGACTATCTATTCCAAAGCCATGCATTACTTGCATGCACTCAAACACAAGCCAGAGAAGGCATCATTACCTGAGTTGGGTCAACCTCTCCTTGGATGATGTTCAAGATAGAGATGTAACAATGGTTGCTCTGTCTGTCTCGCAGCGTTGTAGACACCATGATGTTTTTGGGTTGCAGCAGACGTCGCATCACATCCAGTACTGTGGTCTTACGGACGCTATTTGACTATGAGTGCGATTGACAATCAAACACGGAATGATGGAATCCACACCAATTTTTCCTTTGTTTAACTGGACCACCATGTCTGACCGTACACTAGTTAACCTGGACCCCAGGAGTTGCTTTATTGCCCACTTCTCCTCAACAGTAACCCCTGGATAGCAAACTTTCCTCCTACATCCGGAATTGACTTAACAGTAGGGAATTATTTTATATAGTGTACTTGGTGTTAGTAATCCTAGTGAGTGTTTATTTTAACACTCGTGAATTTTCACATTCCCTGTAATCCCTCCCGTTGTCACTTTTTTCATTTGAAATATGCAACTGCAAATACCCTGGATATGATTTTCAGACTTTAACTTTTTACAAATCCTGCTTTTGGATCTGTAACGCCAAACAAATTTACCACATTTTTATACCAGAAAATGCGTTTAAAGTGGGTGTCAGTTTTAATGCACAGCCAACCAATGGGTACTTCCTGTGTGCAAAAGTGTTGAGCAATGCTCCAATGATCCATCATCGGGGAGGGGGTGGAGAGCAGGTTGTTGTGGGGGCATACTACTTGCCACCATGGGAATGAGGTTGTTAGTTGAATAAACTTATTTTATTGTGAATGTTCATAACAGAAGTAAATTGATATGGAGTGAAAATCATAACCCATCCATCGTAAGAGATAAACCTTCACCACTAATCATTTCGCCACTCTCTGAAGTCAGGTAAATACTTTTCTTTCGGCAGGTGTAGCGTTTGAATTACGGTAAGGAGTAGAGAATAGTCCCATGCTAGTCTACCTTGAGATCCGAGCTGACTGTGAGAGGTGTGTAGCCAGTCATTAGGAAGTGTAGCCTAGGGGTTGGAATGAGAGAGGCTATCAGCCCAATCAGGTCATTGTTCATGTAGCCAGGGTAGCGGAGTGTCGTCGTACTTGTTGACATGATAGTGGAGACCTGGAGGATATTAGCCAGAGATGTATAACTACAAAAACCATCCACTGCATTCTTATAATTTATGAAAAATTCCACTGTAACTGCAGCTGGTAGCAATGAACAACATTTTGGGATGCCATCCAAGAAATGTGGTGATGCAGTGTCTTACCTTGGACTAAGCCTTTGCGATTTAAGTGATGTGAAAGGTGACATTTAGTGACACAATGACATAGTCATTTGTTACATATATGTACTGTACTGTTTCGGACCAATAAAATCCACTGTAAAGGTCACATGATTCTCCATGTTGGTTGGTAGTGTTCAACACAGATTATTCCATCAAATGTAAAAACCCCCATCCTTTTTGCTTCTCTTGCTCCGCCCTCCTGTTTTATAACCAACCAATAATCTATGTGATAATCCCAAATAAACATACCATTTGGTTGATTTGTGTGAAGTCAGGGTTGGAAAGGTGTAGTCGCTCGCTGGCGATACGATTCATGGCGGTGTTGTCCAGCACAACCTACAAATGGGGAGGGGAATTAACTAAGGTTATCACAGACATAGTACAAAGGATGCTAGTGCTTCAAAGATGACATCACATTAAGAAAGATCTTTGACATCAACCACACTGTCTTACTCTGATTGGTGAAGCATGCAAGTTTTGTATAAGCCATCATTTTGGAATTCTCAGCAACAGAATTATTAAAAGTTAAGATCTTTGGTGTGACAGAGAGTTGATTTTCACCAATTTACTGAATGAAAAGTTTAAATTCCATTCAAGCTTGCTGACCACGCTCTCACCGTTTATTTGTTATTAAACAATGGTACTGAAATCAGATACAAAATACTTTTATCTGATTTCAATATGTAAAAAATCACTGACTAGAATGGTCAGGAACACTAAGAAATTTTTGTCTTTTCAAAATACTTTACTTATCAAGACCAACTAGACTTCCTCCTCACTTTGTTTGGTTCCAATTTTTCAATAATCCAAATTAATTTCCCACTTATTCAAAAGGTTTTCGAGACCAAAAGGAAATCAGCTTGGGCACAGCTGACCTGTTTGTCACCTGTATACTCAAGTATAAAACCTGAGCCTTGATTGATGGAACTCACCACACAGTCTGCGTTCTGGGTTAGTCTCTTCAGGGTTAGCATAGAGTTATAGGGCTGCACCACTACATCGCTAATCTCCTGCTGGTTGGGGAAAACTGAGTAGGTCTGGATCAACTTCTTGGGAAATCTACAATGGACAAGATGAAAATGCACAACAAACATGAGACAGTGACGACAGACTGCAGACCCTCACATGTAAATACAATAGCACTGAAATCAACCATCAGTATTATTGACTTTCAATGGAATTTTATGCTGTGAACAAGTGATTTCTCGATAGACCTTTTTCCTGTGATGTCACAACCATGCTGGACCGCGATGTGTTGTGATGGTAATAAGAGTAGTGTTGTGATGGTAATCTCAAGATATTCAAGATCAACTAGTCAAACATGCAGCGTCTGGATGTGCACTTGTACACGGTCGAAGCTGCCCGTAGGAATATATGTGATCACCATGGCCAAGGCGGTCCACACGTGGTGGTATTGTTTACATTTAGCCATGTGGGTGGAAAAAGTCTATACTGAGGTAAACCTACACTGCCACAGTTTGATACAGGTAGTTCCATATTCACTGCAGCTGACTATTTCCACACAACAAAGACTTGCACGAAATTAAAGACCAGTAAAACAGTGGTGGTTTGCTAATCAGCTGGGACGACACCCATAGAAAGAAGTTTTCCTGTCATATTTCAGTTATGCTCATCAAACCAGAGATATTGTTTGTGGCTGTGCTGATGGTTTCAACCAATGTTGTTTTTCTCCTTTTATCTCAAGCTGTCTTGAACTGACCTGTCATTGAGTCGTTCTAGCAGGTATGACCCCATGCCGGATCCTGTGCCCCCAGCAATTGAATGGCAGAGTACAAAACCCTGTGATGAAAAGAAGGCAAAACGTACAGGCCATTGGCTCGAAGGCCTAAAAACTCGGTGGGAAAAGGAATTAAGATAAGCAAATCACTGAATGGTTCAGCAAACAGCAAGTGAGCAGTTAGCTGCCGGTGCTAACCCCGTATGCTTTTCCTGCTGCGCAGAATAATCAAAAGCACCCTACACAAAATCTATGAGCCAGTTTGGTATTTCAACAAGACAAGGCCTTTCAAGAACAAAGCATCCAAAGTCACACTAGTTCAAATACGAGCACGGCATGAGCCAGTGTATGGCTGCACTGATAGGCTGGCCTCGCACATATGTATTGATGTACTCCAATGATCGATGACGTCCCTCATTTTGCATGCACACCGTCAGAAAACCCAACTCACTCACTACTCACAACTGTAATATTGGATATGCCATGTTTGGCTCTCTTGGAAAACAAAGTACCCCAGCTTTGATCCGTGAATACTTCGCAAGTGTTCCAAATGGCATATCCTATATTGTGGTCGTCCAGGATTGTTTTGTATCATTGTACCAATCTCTCCAAGCAATCCGTGGTCGTAACTTACTTCAAAAGGAATAAATCTGATCAATGTGGCATAACCTTTGGACACTGCCAACATCCCGGCCAAACACAAGCTGTCTCCATGCGCAAGTCAGCTCTACTGTGTTGGCCTGTGGAACATGATTATTTTCGGACCAGTCATGTGGCCATACTCAGCCAATGAAATTAAAGCATCCAAGCACACAGTGTAGTGCACAATACCACTTGAGGTAAACTCTTTGTGTTGAAATAAACAGTTTATCCTTCTGATCTTGGTATAAACCATCCTAATGCTAGCCTTCACTGAAACCCTTTTTTTTTGGGGGGGGGTGAGAATGTAGAAATGAAGGTGATCAGGGTTTCTAATTTGTCCATTCCGCAACAAAGATCACTTTATCTTACCTCCAGACTGTCACTTCCGTCAGCCTCCCTGTCTATAATGTCAAACACTTCTTCGTACAAACGCTCTCCCTACATCAAAGTGCACACAAAATTATATCAGTACTGACTGGATAACAGGGCAAGAACATTTCACATCTTACTAACTGAAATCATCATCCTGTACAAAAACAGGACTAAGTTGCTTTTTTTTACAACAGCCCAGTACACAATGCCAGTCAACACTTCTGTGGCATTGAAAACTTCCTTCCAACTGCTTATTCAACAGGATAGCAAAATAATCTCACCCTTCCTGCATCAATATCTCTGCTGATACACCCAAAAAATTATTACGGTACTGAATGTATAAGTTATGTGAGATTCAAATCTCATGTAATTCTGGGGACTCATTAGTGAGGAGAGCGGCACATTAGGTTACTCCCTTTGTGACGATAACAAAGAGAATGAGCAATCATCTTGTTGATTCATCTGACTGGCTGGACTACTGGTAAAGAAGAATTGTGTCTGTTGAGTATATTTAACATTCATCCCCAAAACGATGTTTACATCTTTCCCTGAAGACATCGAAAATCACCCATGGTATCCAACTTTAAGACATTTGAAATTGCTAAGAATCTCACTAACTACGTTGTTTAAGATCAAGTTGATGGCAAAATGTACCTGCTCATACCCAGATGCCCAGTTATTACCGGCTCCCCCACCGTGTTTGGACAGGTAGATGTTCTCCGGGTTGAAGAGATTGGCATAAGAAGAATTTAGGATGCTGTGGATGACGCGAGGCTCCAAGTCCAGTAGGACAGCACGTGGAATATAGTGCTCATCATCAGCCTGGTAAAGTGTACAAAGTACATACTTCATGCACATGTATGGACGGCAGAATGTTGGCGCCATCAAGACCTACATAGATCTATAGTAAAGATTGCGGTAACACCATGTATTTATCTCTTCTTTGAGTATGTGTGGTTCTGAGAAGAACCGGGGAATATTCCCCGGTTCTTCTCAGAACCACACATACGCAATCTTTACTATAGATCTAGTTTCTTTCACCATGAAAACCTTTAAGTCTTATAAGACCTACATATGTACTCATAAGAGTTCTAATTCTACTGCGAGATACACAATGGCATTTCTGGTGTGTACACTCATTCAGATGTGTTTCCCCTTTTGCAAATCTACCAGGAAACTGCATTGAAAACTGGTTGTATCCACACACACCAGTGTGCACAGGAAGCCATACGTAAAACTTTGTGCACGATCATTCTCCAAGTATCGGCCTCTTATGCCAACATCCATGGACATGAACTACCCTCGATCGTAGTGGTTTCAACTAGAAGCACGTACCTGGTAGAAGAAGACATCTTTACGATCGGTGTCGTTGGTGGCAAAGTCCTCTAGGATTCCCTCAGGGCTGATACCATGCTCTGAGCAAAGCTGCTTCCAAAACTCAAAGCCAACTACAAGTGCAAAAGAGGAACATGAACTCTTCATTAAGATGAGCAATAATTAAGGACTCCTTTCCAATCACAACAGGCCATGATATGGAAATGTACAGGCCATGAAATGAAGTATTTGAGACACGTTACCATTGCTCGTAGAGTAGCTTCAAGTCCCAAGTTCTCCTTATTTTCATGTAAGCAAAGCTGAGGGATCATTAACTGTATGAACCAAAAACCCCAAAACCACAACTGGGTGATATTTGTGCTTGCTTTCTTACAAGAAAACCTAATAAAATGAAGAAAAAATAACGGCACATGAATATGTTGGCTACATGGACAGAAATCTTGCAATTGTTGAAAAAACTTCGAGTCAACTTTGTGCAAAGTGTCAATGGGCCATAACAGGAAACATATGTATGTAAGTACATGCATACGTGTACATGTATTTTCAAAACAAACTGAATTTTTTTCCTTTCGTGATTAGTGTTTGCGCATATTTTAGGGGAATTTTCAAGTCATATTAAGGATGAAAAGTGGTGGGTGGATATAGAACTTAGAAAAATTACTGCATCTGGACTCAAGTCAAGTTCATCAGTTGTGTACAAAGTCTATGGGGAGTCAGGAAAAGGTTCGAAAGCTTGTATTATGAAGATTATCCACTCTGAGCAGGAACAACAGAGGGTGTGGTTTGAAATGAAATTGACACCCTTTGGTACGCATTCACCGCATCGGCGTGCGAGTTTCTGTACGTTTGACGAAGAGCATGCTTAGTACACGCAATGAATGTAGGCTGGAACGTATGGTCTTTGCATGCATGCTGAATGCATGCAAGGACCCTTTTGGAAAATGGAGTACCATCTGTCTGTCTTTTGCCGGTGCACTTCAGCTCAGGGCAGATAACAGGCCTAGTAGTCAAAGAACAGCCACGTAATGCCTGGCCTCGATTTAGATTGACCATGATGAGGCATGAACAGATGAATGATCATACCTTCTTCCCATGATCTGCTGATGATGGATCTATCTAGGGCCAATAGAGGACTTGCATGGCGTGCCCTCACTGAAGACAAGTCTTTGTTCCCATGTTTCTTGTGTGACATGCTTGAGTAGATCTATGTTGTACTTCATTGTCATTGAATAACAAACATCCTCTGTGAGGGCGCTCCATGCAGCTCCTCTATTTTCACAGTTGGGATGACATGTATCATTGAGTCTTGATTCTTCTCTCTGATTGGTCAATTGGTGGCTATTCCCTACTTCACACTTAAAACTCAAAGGGGCAAAAATAGTATTGCGGCGGATGGGGAAAATCTGAATTATTGACTTACATGTAACTCTTAACCTTTACATCAGGCCTGAAATTTTACTGTTTTTGCTCTGTGAATATCTTCCCACACTGTACAGAAAGGTTTCAGTTATTTTCATCATGTTGCAACAAAAAGGAGGAAAACACGGACAGTCTCCGAGTTGTGATGTGTGCCTCTACTGTCTATACATGAAGTGATTTAAACTTCAGCAATTTTACATGGGGACAAAATAGAAATGTCATTACACCACCTGCATACAACGTCATGTTGGAGGACATTTCTTTCTACCGCTAGGATACGCTCGAGTAAACCCTTTGTGCATTCATTGTCATTAAATCTAAATAACAAAACATGTCCTCTAGGAGGGTGCCCCACACAGGCCCTCTGCATCATTAACCTGCTGACGTACCAGTAGGCTGTGTCCGAATCACTTGGCTCTGCCGGAATATAAACATGACTTAATACTATAGCCACAGCCATAGGCTCGTACGTACTTTCCAGCCAGTGAGGCCTACTTCAGCCCAGTAAGTTAGTTTACGGAGCTATATTCCTCTTTACGTGTAGATATTTCTGCTTTTCATGTACTCTGAAGTATAGCGCATGTATTTTCAGCAGTCCAGTGGAGCATGATTTTTGGTTGGGATGTCGCTGGGAGAATTCAGCATTTACTGCTCCATGTATGCTGGTAGGACATGTACTCCATTCGCACTCAGTCTGATGGACTGCTGCGCTTCACAAAATCCAGTCCCATCTCAAAACTTCGGAGCATTGCAAACCATGCTATTTTCATTGTGTCTTCCTCCATGCTCAGACTAGATATTTTGAGCATTGCAACCCAATTAAATACAGTGTGCATTTACATACATGTAATGTATGCATAGGCATAAGTCATCATTTCATGTACATTTGTAAGTCGGCAAAATGACGACTTACACAGTAGAAGTCTGCCTTCGCGTAAGCCAATTTGGGGGTCCTGTGAGTGCCGACTCAGTTGGAGTTTACTGTAGTGTAGGTAAAATTTTACAAAATACCTGGATGTTTAATACAGGTAGAAATGCATTAAGGGGTAGATTTGCTCCAGAAAGCGCAAACGGAGGTTTTCTCATCTACAGCTACCTGACCCTGGCAAAGCACTTTTCAAAACCCCACAGTGTTACGACACCATGTAAGCCAATTGCGCTCAACGTCAGAGTAGGCCTAACGTTATTTTAGTGACTTTGAGTTCTCTACTACTAGTTACTACATCATACATGGCCATGATGGCCCCTAATCCCAAACATACCAAACCTTACTTTGATTTCCACACTGCCCAAGTTGAAGCGTAATTATTTCACGAGGCATATCTGTTGCCGTAAATATCAATCACCAGGAAAGTAACTGTAATATGTTGGCCTTGTAAAAGTAAATTCATCAACGCAACACGACCTTCCCACTAGTGGCAGGAAGTGAACCCCAACTCTCATGTCTTTTGAAATGGCGGCAAAAAAAAAAATTCCCTTGCTTAGACTGAACAGAGGGGGCGCTATTGCACATTGGTGGTACATTCAATCATGAAGTATTAAATCAAATGTCAGGCCCACTGCCCCAGAACAAAACAAAAGGAAACCGTGTCCCAATAATTTGGCTGTGACCTGAAATTGGGTACGAGTCTATGTGTTTTACAGTCACTTACCTTTGCCACCTCGCCCGGGCCACTTCGCCGACCCGCCCCTTGGTCCACACTATAGGTATTTCGAGATATCAGGTGATGCATGCCTTGATGTCACAAGCACGTACAGGCCTGTGTTTAATCGACAACTCCCTGCATCCTTTAACAGGCCTAGGTTTAGTACTTGCAAGTTTTTGGATAAAATAATCAAAACAAAAAACGTTCCGTAGTTTTCCAACAGCATGCACTAGACCTCATAAAAACTGAAAAAAATTGGATACATGATGAAGACGATTGTTATTCTAAGAACTAAGTCCCTGGAATACGACTGGGGCTTTTGATCAATTTGCGTCAAATTTGGGTTGTCAAAATTCGGAATGTGCTTTGTGTTGTCGAAGGAGTGCGGGACAAAGCGCTTCTGCGCTGTTCTCGCTATCTGCGCCAGTTGGTGTCGCGCCCCGCTTTTAGCTTTGCATCGGCTTTCATAAAAAACCTTGACATTTTCAGGCATGTAGGAACCAGGGTCAGGGGAGGCAGTAGCCCCCCCCCCCAAAAATGGTGGGCGACCGGGCCCCGAACTAAGTTGTGTAATTTGAATTCTCTGAGTGGAGAGTATGTGTAAGTGTGTGTGATAATTTTATTCAGATCAAATTTTGAAAATGGAAATGATTTTTGGCCCCCCCCCACCCATCTTCCTTCGTGCCTGAGTTTCCAAATCCACCATATGCTAATATTGCTATATGATGTTTTATCTTTCCTGGCATTCAGGATGGATTCAGGCAGTGGGCGAAGTAGCAACTTGGGCGAAGTGACCGACACCGGTCTGTGCGCGAGCGGGTACCAGAGCCCGGGGAGAGAGTGCAGCGGGACCATCATGAACACAGCCTACGGCGGACGCGGACCTCGGGAGCCGGCCAATGGGCAGGCGCGGCACGGCAGCAGTCCCCGGGACGGGGATATTAGGGGTGCAGACCACTAATTCAAGTGAGAATTTCTGACCAGCTCATTAGCATTAAAAGTGCCCCCACAGTATCTTTTGAAGAAGGAGATTGTTTGGCCCCCAAAATGGTGAGATTGTGTAAATCGTTGCCAGGATCAACTCCCTGGGTCTTTGAGCTTTCATATGAGAGCAGAAGGGCTAAAAACTACGGTTGAAAAAAGGTCCTAAGTGCCCGAGAAAGTTGAGGATTGCCACTTGAAAAATGGCTGCAACAAGACTTCGGAAAAATCACTTTTGGGGGGGTGATTTTGTCTTGTGGGAATGATTAATAATGTAATTGG